ATTGAATAATCTCATCAGCTGTATGAGTAGGTGTTCTGGACCTAATTTTACAGATGAAGACACTGAGCTTGGGCTTATGCCCAGGTCTGTTTGATTCCAAAGCTAGTACTCTTAACCACAACAATATGTTGTTTATGAGGTTAAATGCAAGCTGATGTCTTTATTTCCAATTTGATAGATACCTATTTCTTGCTCCATTTCAAGCTGCATTCGATGAGGTGCAAATGAAATGTATCAATTCTACTGCTTAAAGGTTCAAATGAATGTTGACTGAGGAGAAAAGGCTGCAACTAAAATGAATTTCTGGCATTATCTGAATATTGCAATTTTTTGTGTCATCCGTCCAACAGGAATTTATAAAGCTGATCTTATAAATTCTTCCCATCCCTGCCCTTTCTCTGCAAAGTTTCTGTCCCTGCTTTCCTGCTGCTTCTTCAGTGTTTTATGGACTACCCTGATCCTTTACTGTCCACCAACCTAGATTCTAATGAAAGGAACTGTGTTAATCCAATCCGCTATCAATCCTAGGTACATTGGGCTGCATTTGGTGATTGATTACTTTTTTTTGTTTTCAAGACAGCGTCTCACTCTGTCGCTCAGGCTGGAGTGCAGTCGTGTGACTTCGGATCACTGCAGCCTCCACATCCTGGGCTCAAGTGATCCTCCCACTTCAGCCTCCCGAGTAGCTGGAACTACAAGCACAGGCCACTACACTTGGCTACATTTTTTTTTTTTTTTGTATTTTTTGTAGAGACAGGGTTTCGCTATGTTACCCAAGCTTGTCTTGAACTCCTGAGCTCAAGTGATCCGCCTGCTCTGGCCTTCCAAAGTGCTGGGATTACAGGCGAAAGCCCCGCACCCACCCAGTGGTTATTTTTTGAACAAAATCGTAACTTATTGTAGAATGAGCTTGACCCCTCCTAGCTTCCTTTTTCCCTTCACCTATGCCTTTAACAGCAACCATCATTGCTGTTTTAGTTGTTGTTATTGTTGTTCGTGTGTCTTAAATAAGGCTTTCATTTTTCACCATTTAACCAGCTCTGTCTACCTTACTGATATTTCCCCACCATATGCCTCTTTCTTGTTCATCTTAACAGAGATGTCAAAGACTCAAATCTCATCATAAATTAATTCTACTTCCTCTGGGACACTCAAAAGTTTTAGGTCTCTATAAAAGCATCTACTATAAATCTACTTTTTTTCTATTCTGCAGTTTTTCTATCATTTTTTAATCAAAACAATAAGAATAAAGGTACATCTTAAGTAATAATCCCCATGCCCATGTTATTTGCATGATATTCCATCTTAATTTTTCTGATCTTATTATCAGTTCATTATTCAAAGTAACTTTTTTTCTCTTTCCTCAGGTTGAATGACTTGTAGTTAAAAGTATTTTTAATGGTTTTAGAAACTTCCTTAGATAAATTCTATAAATTATAGTCCAATGTTTCGAAGTAACACTTAGGAATAAAACTCTTCTGAACATTGGCAGATAGGGCTCTAGGAAATAGGGATCAGTGTAGCCAGGCAACGATTTCAGAATCATCACATGGTCACGCAGTAAGGTGAATATGAAAAATGCAGGCTGAGGTTCTACAGAACCTCTCTGGAGGGGATGTCTTAATATTAGCATTACAAAAAATGTCTCCAGCTCCCCAATCTTAAATACATAATTTGTGAATAATATTATGGGTTTGCAGCAGCAGTGAAGTATGATATATTGTTAATGCTTTTTGCAAATGTTAGAGTGGATATCTGTGAAGGCTCTATTGTCTCTGATGGCTTTCATATGGCACAGTCCCTGCTAAACTAGAGATTTTACTGTTCTGCAGATCACTAGAACTTTTATTACATCTAAATAATAATAGCCAATTTTAGGACCAATTCATAGCAATCGAGTTTGCAATTTTAGGATTTTCTCTATGAATCTGGCTTGTACTCCCTGGAATCTAAGCTTTCATTCTAGGGGAAAAAAAGATAAGTTAACTTTTTGTAGCTCTCTTGGATAGACAGACAGTCCTAACAAGATTTAAATACTGTGCTAGAAAGCCAAGCATATCAGGTTCCAATTAACATTCTCAATCCACACTCATCTCAATTTTTCTCAGGTTGAAGGAGATTGGGCTATACTGAAGGGTTGTACTTATAAAGTGATTATGAAATTTTCTCCTGTCATTCAGTTTGGTATGATATCTCTGGGCAATTTCAGATGTTGCTGCTGTAGCAACAGCCTACTTAGTGCTTGTCACATACGTGATCATTCAGAAATTGTGAGGGAGGAGTCGTGATTTATAATGTGCTACAAATTGCTCTCAGCACTAGACTACAAATTCAAATATGATAGTTGATACCAATCTGCAATGTATTTTGGAGTAATCCCAATTGCTTATGAAAATCCCTTGATGGTTTGGGGATATATTTTGTCTACCAAACAGTCACTCTGACTGCATTGAGAATTCAGACACAATTTTTAAAATGCAGAAGGGATTTCAGGGCAAATTAGATTTTTCAAACCCCAAGTGTTCCAAATAGAGGCATCTTTGCTTTCAGCACCAAGACCCTGCAAGACTCTGCAGATAGGGGGTCTCTGAGAAAAAACTTCATTCCTGGTAAATATGACTGGGGTGGTCAACTGAGCACAACTTTAAATCATCTATGCATGTTAGGTATTTTCCTACGTGAAGAGAAAATGGCACATTTCTCCTCATTTCCTTTCACATCTTTATTGTACAAGAGCAGCTAGTATATGCTCTTTCTTTCTCTCTCTCTCTCTCTCTCTCACACACACACACACACACACACACACACACACACACACACACAAGTAAATCCATTGGCAACTATTTGTACAATAGCCTAAAAAGTGCTAGCGTGGAAACCAGTGTGCAATGTGGCCACTAAATCAATAGAGTTATAACCTAGTTTGATTACTTGATTAGAATCCAACACATCTATAATGCATTACTTGCTTAGAATTTGATAATAAAATCATCATAAACTAACGTCAAGTTCAAGTGCCTGTATCTAACTTGAGGGGAAAGAAGCAGACAGGGGAAAGAACTAGACTAATCAGTACACTGCAACCAGCAGGGAAAGGAGGCATTCTCAATGGGCTTGCCCTGAGCTCCTGTCAGCTGAACACAGTAGCCAGCAAGAAGGCATGGACAGTTGGAAAAAAAGGGAGGCAGGTTGTTTTTGTGGCAATGAACATGATCATTGCCCATTGAAAGACCTAGGAAAACTGCTTAACACCAGTCCCGAGATCAAGGATAGGCTAGGACAGGGTGATGTGTTCTTAATATGTTCACAGATAGGGAGGAGGCCCATAGACATGTCTTATGTCCGAAGTTAAAGCCTTATATTTGTTTGTTAGGGCTTCCACAAGGTACCATAGACTTTGAACCCCAAAGACTGGGTACCTCAAAAAAATTAAATTTATTTTCTCACAATTCTAGAGGCTGGAAGTGCCAGATCAAGGTGTCAGCAGTGCTGGTTTCTTCTGAGGCTTCTTTCTTTGGCCTGCTGGTGGCCACCTTCTTCTCCATGTCTTCCCATGAGCTTCCCTTTGTGTGTGGCTATTTAGTAATCTCCTCTTCTTATATGAACATCAGTATATTGAATTAGGGCAATCCTAATGACCTCATTCTAACTTACTGACCTCTTGAGAAAGAACCTACCTCCAAATACAGTTACAATCTGAGGTACCGGGAGTTAGAACTTCAAGATATAAATCTGGGAGAGGACATAATTCAGTCCATAACAAGCCTAGACGTTGACATTACTTATGTTTCATCTCTACTAAGTTTTCTCTTTCCTTATGCTTTTGCCACGTTAGCCAAATGCCTTTTGACACACTGGGTCCTCCCTGCTTGATATAGTAAGAACATGTTAAAGAAGCCAATCAATGATCTGACACTTCTTGGTTCTAAAATGGGCCTTCTAGTTTTATTTATGCAGTTACCAACTATCTTGTGCTATAAACTTCAGAGGTTTGTGTTATAGTTCACAGTTAGCCATGTGACTTGCATTGGCCAATAAAATGTAATGAAAGTGATGTGTGCCACTTGCAAGTAGAAGCATTGACAGCCACTGTGTGCTTCCACCATGTTCTCATTTCCTCTGGCCATAAGCCCTAAATTTTCCCAGATTGAGCACATATTTGAGCAAAATTAGCCTTTGTTATTGTAAGCCACCAAGATTTTTGGAGTGGTTACCATAGCACGGTTGAGCTGAAGCTGAGTGATACATCTTACATTCTTACCCCTGACCCTGAGTCTCCTGTTCATCTGTATTGTTGAACAATTCATCAATTACTAGAAACCCCACTAGCATGTCCCATATAGATCCATCTACCCAACCTGGGAAGTGTCATAAGTTCTCGTTGCTTAAATAAAACTCTGATTCCTTTTTTTCCTTAATCAGCAATCAGAAAAAGCAATTTGACCAAACTGACATATAGGAAGTTGTGCAGAAACCTCTTCTGCCAAGGCTGATGTGTAACTTTTCTACAGAAACCTCTGACTTTTTTTTATTTCATAGGTTTTTGGGGAACAGGTGGTGTTTGGTTACATGGATAAGTTCTTTAGTGGTGATTTCTGCGATTTAGGTGCACTCATCACCTGAGCAGAGTACACTGCACCCGATGTGTAGTCTTTTATCCCTTACCCCCTCCTACTCTTTTCCCTGGGTCCCCAAATTCCGTTGTATGATTCTTATGCCTTTTTGTCCTCACAGTTCAGCTCCTACTTATCAGTGAGAACATATGAGGTTTGGGAACCTCTGATTTAAAGAGAGATGTATTAATCCAAAGAAAAGACTCTCTAATAATGAGATTTCATAAGTTTTCTCTGGAACAGGAAGGACATTCCAGCATCTGTAACACTGCTTTATGTACTTATAAATACCCCTCCCTGCCACAGTTAGAAAAAATAATCAACATGTATATTCTAGTGATCATATTCAAGATACAATTTGAATTACATATACCTGTAACTACTTACCATGTGCAGACACTGTGCAAGACTCTTGCATACATGATTCCATGTAATCTCCTTAATGGCTCTATGCAACAGGTATGACTTTCCCCATTCTGCAGATAAGTAAATAACTCTCTGGTTCATATACCTGGAGAGGGACAGATGCCTGCTCACAACATTGACATGGTGCTATGTAACAATACATCTTTTATTCTCAGCATCTCGGGGAAAATAAAGCATTATTGGGGAGTTTTAAGTTTTTTCCATCTTGCTTTATAATCTATGCTTTAATTTTTTAATGATATTTATGTAAAGGGGAGTAAATGGAGACAGGTATTTCCCATAAGAATGTCTTAGTAAATTCAAAATCCAAAGTTTATCTCTTCTGTTTCAAATACTTAGAAATAATAGATGAGAAAGAAAACATGACAAAAGAAAAAAGAAAACAACAAACCAGAAAGATGTATCAAGGCTCAAAGCAACTCAAAGGTCCCTATGGATCAATGACACAGAAACCCAGAGAAGTAATGGGGTGTTGGGGGAGATGCTAAAACCACAGCCTATCCAATTCTGGTGGTCATTAAGCTTGCTCCAACAAGGTAATGGGGACTAAAAGTGTTCCATGCCAGACAGGCACCTAGAGCTAGGCTCACTGCTTGAAGCCAGAAGCTAGAGGGTGTCTCTCTACTGTCCTAAAAGGAGATTATTTTTTAATGCTACTGAATGAGGACTGAGGCTTCAGTTGTTAAAAAGCCAGGAGTCAAGCAAAGTGGAAGGAACCAAGTGGCCTTCTGGTTCTGTGAACAGACGAGCTATGTTTCAAATACTATCAGAAACACTGTATGATGATAAAACCTTGTTCTTAACCAGAGTGCAGGGGTTTGAGTGAATGCAACAGTATAATTTCTAGGTAGAAAGAAGTGGGTACAAAGGGAGAGAGCAAAGGAAAAAACAATCTCCCCACTTGAGTTCATAAACCCAAATCCCAAAACACACACAAAAAAAAAACGTTCACAGACAGCCAAACATGTTAATTAATTAGTTAAATAAACTCACTTCAAATGAGATCCATGCCATGAAACGGTCTAACAAAGACTTTAAAATATGTGGTTAGGATGGTCAAAAATACAAATGAGCAACAGCATCTAGAAACACATAATGACAAATAAAAACGAGATACTTATAAAAATAATTACAAGTCTTAGAATTTTAAAAATATAGAGAAATAGAAAAAATGAAGGGAATAAATTCTAGACTGGGCTGAAGTGATTTGGTAAATTTGAGCAGTTCTGATATGTATTCAATGGGAGGTCCAGCGAAAGATCATTGAAAAAATGATGGTTGAGAATATCCCAGAGATGAAGAAAGCCATACATCCTTAGACTAAATGCATGCTTCAAGTTCTGAGCAGGATAAGAAAGAATAATCCACACCCAGTTTGAAAAAAATCTAAAAGCTGCCAAAAATGACAGATTACCTACAAAATAATAGCAATTAAGTTGGCAACAACACTTTCATTATCAAAAAATACAGGCCAAAAAGCAATAGAATAACATTTTCCAAGTACTCAGGTAAGGAAATAGTAAATCTCAGATTTTTTACACAGCTAAACATTTAATTAAGAGTCAGGGAAAAATAAAGGCTTTTTTACACGTATAAAAATAAAAGAGTTTACCACTCGCAGATGCTAATTAAAAGATTTATTAAAGAATATGTTCAGCGTGAAGGAAAGGGAAGCTAGACTGAAGATAAATGTGGATGATTTGCCCAGCTCCACCATATCCACTGCCCCTAGCCAAAGGATGATTCTATTTTCCTATCCCCCTTGAAGTCATGCTTGGCCATATGACTTGCTTTGGCCAAGGAAATGCGAGCAAACATGATGGATAATTCTCTTGCATGGAAGCTTTAAGAGCCAGCGTGCCCTCTCCCCTCTGCCTCTGCTGATGCCGGCTGCTCCTTCAGGTGGCCTTTGGAATGCAGAAGCTGAATCCTAGCCAGCCTGGGGTGTAAACAAGAAATTAAACTGTATTGTTTCAGCCTTACTTTTAAATTTGTTACCACAGTATTATGACTAGGAAAGACAATTATGCAAAATTGGAGAGATTACAGAAATTGATAAAATATGCTGGGAAATTAATTAAAAATCAATTAGAAAAATACTAATTTTTAATGAACTTCCAAATCTCTGGGCAACGATAGCACAGAATACGTTCAAAGGAGAATGTAAAAATACTCTAGAAGAAATACTGAATAATCTTAAGCTTTGTTTAAAAATGTATAAGATAAAGGTCAGGCACAGTGGCTCACACCTGTAATCCCAGCACTTTGGGAGGCCAAGGCAGATGGATCACTGGAGGTCAGGAATTCAAGACTGTCCTGGTCAACATGGTGAAACCCGTGTCTACTAAAAATACAAAAATTAGCCAGGGGTGGTGGTGGGTGCCTGTAATCCCAGCTACTCGGGAGGCTGAGGCAAGAGACTCACTTGAACCCGGGCGTGGTGAGCCAAGCTCGTACCACTGCACTCCAGCCTGGGCGGCAGAGCAAGATTCCATCTCAAAAAGTTAATTAATTTATTAATTAATTAAAAATGTATAGATAAGTATATGTGTTTAAAATTTAAGATACTCACCAGCAAAACAGAAAAGCAATCTAAAGCTTTCAAACCATAAAGTAGGGAAAGGGGGTACTGACAACTCCCCCAATTCATATGAAATTAGGACAGAGAGAAGGGGGGGAGAAAAATTATGATGAACAGAAATCAAAAAAGAAAGAATATGGCAGAAATTACAAGAAAATGAAAGGAGAAAATCAAAATATTAAAATATTTTAATTTTTAATAAAATACATATTAAAACACCAATCAAACTGGATCAAGCTGAATCTAATCACATTGAATTTTTTTAAATTCACTTATTTGCTGCACTGTGAAAAACATACCTAACACAAAGTCACACAAAAAGATACGGGAAAGAACACCAGAGAAATTGTTTCCAGCTGATTTGTACTCTCCCCAGAATTCATGTGTTGAAGTACCACCCCAGTACTATTTGGTGATGGGGTCTGTGAAGAGGTAATTCAGTGAAAAATGAGGTCACTCAGTGGGCCCTAATCCAATATAACTGATGGCCTTATAAAAAGAGAAAATTAGGACACAGAGACACACAAAGGGAAGACCATATGAACACACAGGGAGAGGACAGACATCTGAAAGCCAAGGAGAGGCCTCGGGAGAAACCAACCCCGATGACTCAGACTTCTAGCCTCCAGAACTGTGAGAAAATGAATTTCTGTTGTCTAAGTCATCCATTCTGCGGTACTTTCCTCTGACATTCCTAGCAAACTAATACATTCATCAAAAAAAAAAAAATGCTAGTGGCAATATGAATATCAGATGATACAGAATTAAAATAAAAAAGAATTAATAGCATGACAATGAGACATCAACCCAACCATGCAAAAGGACCAGTCTACTAAGACATAAAGCCATTCCCTCTTGAACCCTCTCCAGCAAATTAGATCCTACCCCTCCAAAAAAAAAAAAAAATCACTACTTCACATTATCAAAAACTAGTAGTCGGTTTCCAGTATTCATCTAAAACAGCCTTTTGCAGCATTCGGCAGAGTGGATGATACCCTCCTTCTAGAAAGCCTTTCTTCACTTTTCTCCTTGACACAATACTCTCCCTCCACTTCTCCCTCTCACTGGCTGCTCTGCCTTTCCCAGCCTTAAATACTAGCTAGAGGTGCCAGGCACAGGCTTCTTACTCAACAGAGTACGTTGTAAATGCATAAGGCAGGAAACTAAATGCAACAAAAGACACTTACCAAATAGAAACGAACAATAGGAAGCATCAATAAAATAAAAGCTGGTCTTTAGAAAAACAAGATCTTAAGTAATATGAGCAAATAAAAAGGACATCACTACATACGGAGGAGGACAAAATCATTAGAAGTATTTTACATAACTTTGTGACAATTACTCGATAATTTTGCATAAAAACAAATTTATCAACATTGAAGAAATAGAAAACCTAACTAAATTAATGAACTACACATTGAAAAAAACTAGCAGCCAAATCTCTCCCACTCGCAAGTTTTCTCCTCAAAATAAGTGGCACAGTTTTACAGATGAGGCTTAACAAACCTTTAAGAAACCCATAATCCCCATCTTAAAAACTATTTAATAAAAAAGAGAGTGGGAGGACAAGCCAGATACCCAAAAAGAACAAAGACAGTAGAAGAAAAGGTAGAAAAACAAAACAAAGCAAAGCAAAACCATATAGGAAAAAATTGATACATTTGGTTCATTAAAATTAAAAGCTTTCCTACATCAAAAGATAGCATAAGCAAAACAAAAAATTTATCCCAGAAAAATAACTTCTAGGAGAAGTTATTTGCATATACAGTCTATATAAAACAAAGGAATATGTGAAAAACTTATAAAATCAGAAAAAAAGGAGAAATTAATGCAACAAATGGACAAAGCATATACCCAAGCAATTCACAAAACTATAATAGACAATAAGCTTATAAAGAAATGCTCAATCTCATTAGTAATCAAAGAAATGCAAAGTGAACCAACAATGAGATGCCAGTTTATTCCCAACATACTGACAAATCTAAAAGCCTCATCAGACCTCATGATGAGAAGAATACTGAGAAAGGCCAAGCTCTCATATGCTGTTGGTGAACCTATAAACTGGCTGCACAACTTTGGAGCTCAATATGGCAACAATAACTGAGAATAGCATGCTTCACAGCCTAAAAAGTCCAATTCTTGGTATATAATTCAGATAAATTCTCTGGCATGTGTGACTTGCTCAAGAATGATTATTGCAGCAATTTTGTTGTAGCAGAGGGAAAAAATCAGAAACAACTTAAATGTTCATTAAGCGCAAATTGGCTAAATAAATTGTAGTATATTAATACAAAGGACTTTATACAGCAATCAAAATAAATGAATTAGAACTTCAATTATCAAAATGAATAAATCAAAAAAATATTAGGTAAAAAAAAAAAAAAAAAAAAGGCCAGTTATAGAATATATATATTATCAATGTAAGACTGCAAACATACAAAACAATACAATTCAATGTTTGTATGTAGTATATATGTAGTGATTCTATTAGCATGGAAACATGCATAAGAATTACAATGTTAGCACTCAAGACAGTGCTAACATCTGGAGAAGGATTGTTATGTTACAAAGGAGGTATAATTCACAGCGGGCTTTAACTATGTTGATGGATGAATAGATAGATGATTGATGGATAGATAGATAGACAGGTAGATAGATAGAATTTTTATTTCCTTAAGAAAAGATCCAAAGCAAGTAAGTTTGCTTTGTTAACATTTGTTAAAGTTCCATGGCATGTGAATTGGTGTTTGTTACATTCCTTACTCTCAATGATTCTTTTTTTTCCTGTATGTTTGGAGTAGTTCATAATAAAAAATAAAAACAACGCAAGCAGCAGAAATATAGCAAAATGGAGGACTAAAAGAAGAGAGGATGTGGGAGCCAATCAGGTTAGAATTATCTAGAAACCGGGGAAAGGGAAACAAATAGGAGAAGGCAAAACAAAAAGGACCAGCCAAACAGACAACGAAGGTGAGCAGAAAATGGACAAAAGCAAGCCGCCGCTGGCTAATGTCTGAGGGAATGAAGGCATGCCAATACCATTTCATCCTCTCTTCCACGTCTGATTCCACTAACTCAACAGTTCCCCAGGAGACAGGGCTGGTGGCAAGAGAATCCAGGGTTGCATTGATCCCACAGACATCACCTCTGCTCCCATCGCTCCCAGCAGCTGGATCTCCATTAGTGCGGAGCGCAGGGGGCTGGGGAGGGTACGCTTTACTTACCTATCTCCACTTAGGCACAGTCTTGTCTGTGATTCCTGAAATCTAATGATGAGAAAGGCATGTTGGCACTCCTAAGACTGCTTTTCCCTGCCATGGTAAATCACTCCCTGAGCATCATCAACTTTAGGGAACTATTGACCATTTAATTCTAGGAGTAAAGCCATTTCTGCTTTCAGGAGAAATTGATGTGTATTTTGTTCATACAATATAAAGTGGAACTTACCATCTTTAGTCCCAAACACTCCCCGTGTCTGCCTGTCCCTCTCCCCACTCAGTGACGCCATCTTGGCCTCTCCTTTCTTACCCTCCATGTTCTGTAGTTATCACGTCCTCTTTCCTGGGTCTCTACAAACTGCCTGCACAGTTCGTCTCCCTGCCTAAGGCTGCCCCTCTTAAAGACAGTCTCCATTCCACCATCTGATAAAGGTTGTTATAGCCCAGCTCTGATCTTCTTATTCTTTCCACAAGAAACACAGATGCTGCACCAACGTGTGAATGCAGAGCTCCAACTCTCTACTCCAGGATTGAAAGGAAGCCTGCTACGATCTGCTCCCTCCTCTCCTGCAGCTGTTCTGCTCAGCTCATGCAATCACTATGCACCCACGCTGTGCCCACCAAATGGTCATCCTTAAACATTTTCTACCTGCCATTTTCCACCTCTAAACATTTCCTTAGAAAGTTCCCTCTATTTTCTCTTTCTCCATCTCCACCTAGGGAATTCCAATCTAGCCTTCAAGAGCCAGTTCGAATGCTGTCTACCCCAAGGCAGCTTCTCTAAAGCAAGCTCTACCCACCTCAGAACTGACATGTGCAGCTGGCTACTCTGTTAAAGAGGTAGAGCATTGTTTCCAATTCATTCCTATGCTCCAGTCATATCTAGCACTGTGCCTTACACATAACATGTACTCAACAGTACTCCAATGAAGGCATGTAAACATGCATTTATATATGGAATACCTATAACCATGTGCATTTTATAGCAGATTTGATAACTTTAGTCCAAACTTTCGTTACCTAGTAGTCCCTCAATATGTACTTGTGAGAATTAATGGATGACTGAGTAAATGAAGGGATGATTTTCCTATACTCACTTTGTCATTGAATCAGATGTCATAGATCACTGTACATCATTGTTGGTTGCTCTATGTTCTTTCCTCAAGATCCTCAGGAACACACTTCTAAGTTCTGAATGTAACAGATAAACATTAATTCAATTTAATATGGTTCTAAAGGGAAAATACAAATACAGGAGCCTGCCTGCGTCATATAAATGCATTGCACTTTACATTGCAACAGACAACACTAATAATTTGATATTCTTCTTCTTTTCATTGTTTACTGAACCCTCTGTTTGAGTTGATTCCTCTGCCTTTATTGAGAATAAGCTATTGAGAGCAGCCCCTGATGAATACTAGCCCACTTGATTATTTTTTTAAACAGCACTCAATCACCCTTCTTAGCCCTAATAGCATCTTTCTCTACAAATGACTGCCACAGGTGATTAGGTCACACTTTCTTGAAATATTCTATCTTTCATTTATAATTTTTAAATTAACCCAATTATTTCTAACAGTGCGTACCTTGAACACCAAAAAAAAAAAATGTATTGTTATGTTACTCAATTCATTGTTGAAAGGAGTTGGGAAAGCTTGTGGGAATGGAAATTGATTATGAAAGCAACACATCCTCTGTGCCCTTTACAACACCTCCTCCCAAAGGAGCCATCACTATGCCAGGACTACTAGGGCCACCAGCACCCTCTTCTGAACATCTAAGTGAGAAATGACCCTGTGCAAATGGAACTCAATTTTTTACAACGTCAATCAACTGATATTACTTCCAATGTATTATTTTCACTCACACAGCATTAAAAATATATATGCACTAAACCTTCAATCAGCTTGAAAAGAAGCTAACAAAATTTCGCCTATTTCAATAAGAGTCAATTTAGGGGCCTTTGTTGTGTCTAGAGGCAAGATTTTTCTCTTGGGTTATCTCAATACCATGAGTGTCAATCAAAGAGCCACACTCTAAAGACCAAGCGAATATCAGATGAGATCCATCACCAGGCTGAATTTTGGCCTGTATTTGTAAATGATTTCCTCAGCTGGGTCATCAATCACAAAGTCATCTGCATGGAGAGGGTACTTCATTATTGTTCTATGGGGCTCCAATTAAGTGGGACATGACAAACAGTTATCACGTTGACAGCTCATCCAAGTATCAGCAATTACCACAACCCGTGGCCTCGAGAGGAGTGTGGGCCTCTCTGCTTCCTGCTTAGGTGAAGGCTGACTGGAATAAAGTATTTCCTTCCAGCAGACTTCTGAGCATCTGGCTTCTCACAGAGAAAGAGTCCCCTCATAAAACACTCGTAGGCCTCCAATTCAATGTCTCAGGTACAGTCTTGAGTTCACGTCCATTTTAAATTCCCACATACATGCAGAGTGACACTAATGCATGCAAAAATGCACTCTCCAAGCAAAAATAAAGGATAATTATGTGCTTTTCTTCATTCCTAGAACTCCCGGGAAAACTTAAGTATTGCATCACATTTTAGGTCCGAGCTCTGAAACGTAACCATGTTTCAGTGCAGTATTTTGTAGACTTGATTTGGATATTTTTATATTTACACAAAAGTGTTTAGTCTCTACCATACTGAAGGAGTTGTACCACTACATAGGAATGATGGGTGCTTTTAGCTCTTCAGGGAGAGCAGCATAGTAGCATTTAAGCTGCCTTTGATTGACTAAGGTGATTTGATTTTCTCTAATAACTCACAAGAGCTGTTAGGAAAATTGGATGGTATTTATAATTCTAATTTGTTGTACTCTGCAACTCTAGGAAACAACATTGTGGTAAATACATTGAAATGTCAGGGTTATCACTTGCCACACAAAGTTATTTTATTTTTCCCCCACTGAACAAATGCCAGCAGCTTAGCCTGCTGAGCCCAAGCTTATGTGAACTAGCGATCCAGGCAGCCTTTGGCAGTTGCGAGTGGCCATTTGGCCCGCCCGAGCTTACACTGCATAGATTCCCCGGGACGGTCTCCAACTTCAGGGTAGTCAGAGACTTTTCAGTGCTGCTGGGGCCCCCGTATCCTCCCACAGCAGCAGGCTGCCTCCTAAGAAGCTGGCTCCTCTAGCCGTTCCAAGAGGGAAACTTGAATACTGTTTTGGCAGCTTTGCAGCTCCATCTACTCTCTACCCATGGCTAAAGAAACTTTTTTAAAGTACAAGAAGCAATGCTTTGGAATCTTCATCCAGAATGACTTTGAGGAAAGCTGTCCTGAAAGCTAGGACTCACTCCTTTGGCGAGCTCTGCTGTGGAGCCAGATGCCATTTTTCAGCATGGCAAGTTCATATAAGGATCAGAGCTCCAAGGACAATGTCCAAGGAAGGACAGCTCAGAGGCACCAACGATTTCTTCATCGACAGAGCTTCAGTCCTGCGGGTCCAAATCCATCTTCTGGGGAACACGGGGATCAGTTTCAGGAATCCTAATCTGCTATTCTCCTTTTTTTTCCCCATTCATTAGTAAATCTGACCAGATGACACAATTACAGTATGCCTTTTTTAAACTGCATTATTGTTGGCTTTGTTAGAGACTCATTGTTCATGCTTGTGAGATGCTCATCTTCCAAATAAAGAAAGGAGGGGTGACGAAAAGTGTCTGGTCAATCAGCTAAGACAGGCAGGCAAGCCAGAGTTCCAGGATGCTTGCTTTCATCAACCAGGGCTCAGCTCAGCTTCTGGGTCTGAACAAAATAAAGTTTTTCAGATCATCCTGGCTTGGGCTCAGCTGCATGGTAAGGAATGCATTTTAAAAAATTAATTTGTCTCATTTTGTTTTTGATTTGTAGGACTTGCTCATTTCGATTTTATCTTATTTAATAATTATGTAAAGCATATACCTACTTCAAAAGTCAGTCCTACCAAGCACTGGTTCTGTCTTCTCGGTCCTTTTCTCCTTCTAGGGGTAACCATTTTTATTAATTTTTAGTTTATCCTTCCATGATTTAAGTATAAGCAAATATATTTAGACATTCCTATTGCACATCTTTCTTAGATGTGAGATACCTTATCACATAGTGTTCTGCACTCTGCTATTTCCATTTACCCAGGAGACCACTCCTGAGCAGTCTATGTAGATATTCCACATTTCTTTTTACAGCTGCATAGTACTCCAGGAGTGATGTCACTGTATCATTGTGCCATAGCTTATTCACTTAAATCCTTGTTGATAGACAGTAGGGGTGTTTTTGTCTTTTGAAATTACAAATAGTGCTCCAATAAATAGGCATGCATCAATGTGCTTTTGTATTTTTGCCAATTTATCTTCGAGATGGGTTCCTAGAAAAAGGATTGGTAGTCAGTGGATAATTATATACACACTTAGCAACCCCCTTTGTAGGCTTGCTAGTCAATAGATAAGTGTGTATGTAATTCAGCTGGCTATTGCCTAGTTCCTTCCGCTAGGTTTATGCCATTTTTCCCTAGTACCAGCAATGTATGAGAGTGCCTGTTTCCGCTGAGACTCGCCAAGAGAGAATACTTTCAACATTTTGGATTTTTAAGTGTGATGTCAATCTCCAAGGCTCTGGTCATCAGAACCAGCTCCACATTTCATGTAGAAAAACAATTTGTTTTTTCTGAGTGCTCACCTCAAAAAGCCACTTTGTGATTTTACTATTACCAGCTGTGACTCCCTTTCATCAGAAGAGTGCCTTTTCTCTAGGAATGAATGGAAATAAAAGCCTTTCCTATGATTCAGATGACCAAAAGAATCATGTGGTCACACAGGAGCCATTAGCAAGGCTTTCTACTCATTCAACAAAGATTTACTGAGTATCTCCCATGAACCTACTATGTGCTACTAAAGTGCTTTTGGACTAAGGTATGGGGCTGAAGGATTGTAAAGGTCTAGAAAAACTGTCTACTATGTCAAGATACAAGCTATACCATAATAGGTTCCAAACAACCCCAGGCAAGTGTGATATTCAGTCCTCGTCTAACCAGCTGTGAACAGCAACATGATGCTATTTGTCCAACTCCAGAATTTTGTGCTACCCGATCAACAAGGAAAACAAAGAAATTTTATATGTGACAGGTAGATGAAAGAAAAAGAAAGAACAAAAGCCAGGTTAGAAAAACATGAGACTTTCCTTTCTACTGGGTAGAAGGCTGATTCAACTCTACTGCCAGTAGCACTCAGTAACTTGCACATTGAAATTTATCAGTAAATGTTTGTGGAATGTAGGGATCATAATTTAAAAATATCTGTGTACTAGAGGAGAAATATCTAAACCTTCTTTCCCTAAATCATATGACATAAAGAACGTTGCTGATTGTAACCTTCCAATTTGGAAAGATCTCTTCCCATTCATCAAATTCTGAAATAACAATAACTGACCTTTGTTGGGTGGCTCATTTGTGCCAGACACACTTGTAAGCCCCTTACTTTGTTATCTTACTCAACGCTCTAAACAACCCTGCTTTGCATGTTTTGGTGCAATTATTACCCCCATTTTACAGATGGGGAAAGTGAGGCACAAAAATGTTAAGTAACTTACCTACAGTTCAGTATTAAGACTCTTGAATTCACTTGTAAACTGAAGCCTGTGGCAGAAGAATTCATTTGGGAATTTAGAGTTGCTATACATAGACTGACGTCCCTATTCCTAAGTGAAACTGTCACACCATGGCCAAGTCCATCATCCTCCCCTTGCTGCACCTGTGGGTAGTTGACCCACCTCCCGGCCATTCTCGGTGGGTCTCATTCTGAGGTTCCATTTCTGCCTTGAGGCTTTTGCTCCAAATGAGTTGATCCTTAATCTGATCATCTATGCATGCAATTGGCCTATTCACCACTTCCCAGAAGCCTAGGCCTGGAGTATATAGTGCCAAATTCTTTACTGTATATTAATAGAAAGTACCTTACTCAGCCTTTCAGCTGTTTATATCACTGTGCAGTGGTTTTCCAGGATCCAGCTGCCATCAGTCTTCCCCATATGCCATCTAAAGAGAGATGAGCTGCAAGGTTCTATTGCCAGGCCTCCTGTCTTGCAATTTGATATCAATTACAGGATTTAGACAATGCTGGTAAAAATCATGAAGAAGCTTGATGTGACATCTATGGCTGAACTACCATTCTCCAATTTTTTAACAGCTTGATCTGAAACTGAGATCATATAAGGGCCACATCCTCTTAGCCATTCCAGAAAAATGTTGAGCTTCTTAATGCTATTTTATGTTACTCTTTTTTCTGTAGATAAACTAAAATCAAAGCAGAAAATATTTAGCTGCATATTCAAACTAACATTAAGACAGAAAACTTTTAGTTGCATATTCGTTTTCTCTGGATCTAGAAGAAAAATAAATCCCTGCCTTTTCTCAATTAAAGCTGCTCTAAAGAACTATGCTGCTTGTTACAGAATAGTCTAAAACCTCCTGTGTATGCTGTTATTGTCTATGTAACTGTAGACCTGGTATGATGCTTATAGTATCTTCAGCTGCTAATTTAGTCCATAATCACAAATCACAATCATTTGTGATATAAAGGCACAAAAGATAGAGATAATCAAAATAAAGTGACTGCCTTGAAAATATCTTACCTGTATAAGGGAGACAACACAAAATCAAAATCAAAAAGAGATCATATAATAAATAAATGCTATTAAAAGATAATGCACAAAATTATATTGTACCATTTTCTACAGTATGACCATATAGTGTTTTTTATAGTGGAAGGAAAAGATACATGTTTCTTACCTTAAAACTCTTCAAAGTTAAGCATGTACCTCTTGCACCAGCACTGATTGTTTGGAACACCAGGAACTTGGATCTGTAGTCCATGAGGGTAGACCTCGTTCATCCCGGGCTACTTCTGAAGTACAAGAGAAAGGCCATTTCTCTTTAAAGTTTGCAGTTATGAGTTCTTGCATCTTCTCACCCTCAAAGTAAAGAAAAACAAAACAAATGAACACAAAAGAAAGGAAGGTTTACATTGTGGCTACTAAAAGATATGTTTTAGATAAGTCCTCTCATCACCTAACCACATAAATGTGTGGAACTTCAAAGATGCTGTGGTTTCTTCCTAGCTGCTACAGGCTCTTTTTTTTAACTGAGGCTTTATATGCCATGTCCTGGGCTAAGTATTTAGAGATGAGAAGTCCACTTAGCATTGAGCGATAAACAGTTCACCAGAGGGGACCCCTGCCATAGACCACCAAGAAACAATGCTTCTTTTACTAAAGGCACTTTGGCATTCAAAAATTCAAGCCCAACCTGACAAATTTGGGGATGAAGAATAAATTCAAGATGGTGCCGTCAACTGTAACATAATTGGATACCTCATCATCTAATGCTTGCTCCAGGAGTATGATAAATGCTCCAGACATATTTCATTTTTCATGTATTCTTAGCAAAAACTCAAATTCAGCATATCCTCCGCAAGATCTAAGATATCATAATTTTTCTCATCGCTCAGGAGAATACTTTTGGTACAAATGTTGAGAAAAGTGTGAGCTGTAGAGGGTGATTTCACAGTTGGTTTATGGAAAGGCCTTAGAGAATGAAGGATAGTGATGTAACTTAAGTCGCATGAGACTGAATACACTTCTGGAATCCAGCTTATTAAAAATGGAACTACATGGGATCCTATTCAGCAAGTTTTTCCATTAAGATAAATAAGACTAAACATCCATCGATGGCAATGCCCTCCAAATATAATTATGAAAGATAATTATCCAGCCTTAGTTCCTTGGTCTATTTCAAAATATATCAGAATATATAGTACCCCCTTCTACAAGATGAGACCCTGCTTGCTTGTCATGTATTAGTTTTTATTTAACATTTAATTTCTCTTCGGATACAAGATCCAAACACATTTTCTTCCATTCTGAAAAAAAAGTGTACGAGAAAAGACTCCTCTTCTCTCCCAATAGCTATTCTCAGCTCTATTTTAATTCAAATCACAATCATATGTTCACTATTATGAATTAGAAATACATACTCAAAAGTGCATTTGAGGTGAGAGGATTGCTTGAACCTGGGAGGTCAAGGTTGCAGTGAGCCCTGATTGTGCCAATATACTCCAGCCTGGGTGACAGAGCAAGACCCTGTCTCAAAGACAAACAAACAAACAAAAACAATGTGCACGGTTACTGAGAAACTGCATTTTACCAGAGGACTCCACGTGTAAGTGCCAAGAGGCAGGAAAGAAGATATAATGCATGGGAAACTGCAAGTGGTTGGTTCCACATGAAGGGAAGTGCTGGGGTCTGAAGTCATGAATATCACCAAAGGGAAGATCATGAAGAACATGGAGGAGTGACTGTCTCAGGAGAGTCTCTAAAGGTTTTTTTGTTTTCTTTTGTTTTTGTTTTTGTTTTTTGGTTTTTGGTTTTTTTTGAGATGGAGTCTTGCTCTGTAGCCCAGTCTGGAGTGCAGTGGTGTGATCTCAGCTCACTGCAAGCTCTGCCTCCCTGGTCCCAGTTCAAGCAATTCTCCTACCTCAGACTCCCAAGTAGCTGGGACTATAGGCATGAGCCACCATGCCCAGCTAATTTTTGTATTTTTTTAGTAGAGACAGAGTTTCACCATGTTGGCCAGTCTGGTCTTGAACTCCTGACCTCGTGATCCACCCGCCTCGGCCTCCCAAAGTGCTGGGATTACAGGCGTGAGTCACTGCACCCGGCCGTCTCTGAAGGTTTTAAGCAGGATAGGGTACGGCCAACACCAGATTTATCTTCGATACAGCACTCGCATTGGCTGGACTGGAGGAAAGCAAGATTAGCTGCCGGGAGTGCAACTGGATGTTGATGCAGTGGTACTAGCTGAGCTCATAAGGGTATGAAGCAACACCAGAAGGAGAGCAGGCACCAGACAGACACTTCACAAGCAGAATGAACAAGACTCAGTGACTGAGGTAAGAACGGGGGGAGAGAGGAAAGATATTAAGATGACTGACAGATGTCTTAATGGACCTTGAGCTCTTGTTTGAAGGATCTGTCTGGGAAATTCTGTCACTTACTATTCTTGATGGGAAAACATCCCTGTTAATCTGAGAAGCTCATCTTGTTAAATGGTAAACTTTGGAAACAAAACATGGCATGAATATGGAAGGACAGGCGTCAGGGTTGATCACTTTACAGTCAACTGGGTGGATAATAGTGTTATTAAACAAGACAATGCATTAGGAGAAGAAATAAGATTTTGAGGATAAGGAGCAATAGGCCATCATGAATTCCATTTGGGATAAGTTGAGATTAAGAGGTATCTTTTAAGTTCAGATGAGGATGTTTTATAGGGAGTTGGTTAAATGGATCCAGAGTTCAGGGGACAATTTGGGAATAGAAATGTGTTAGACATCAGAAAACTGGTGGTAGTTGATGCCACAAACTAGACTTCAAGTATAATTGCTGTGCTTTAGTAGTACAGTATATCAGATTTTTTTCAAAATCAAATTCTTCACACAATATTTATTCAATCATCCAATAAATAGTAACTGAGCAGCTTCTACTACAAGAACCCGAGTGAGAAGTGTCAAGTAGAACTATGAATAAGACAGCAGCCCATCTCAAGCTATGTATATTCTACCTGGGGATTCAGATGTTAAACTGGTTGCCTAATATATTGTTTAATTATATTTGGGGCTAGGACCACAAAGAAGAGATGTAGAGCTTTTAGTGGAGAAACGGAATGAGTTCAGTGGCAAACTAGAGTTTCATGTAAGAGTCTCTGAAAAGCGACTTTGAGGTAAATTTTAAAGGTGAATTAACCAGGCAAAAAGAAGAAAAGAGCATTCCAGGTAGAAGGAATCAGGTACATAAATATGTCTCATATTCTGAGACAGAAAAGAATGTTAGAATACACCAGGCTATGAAAGCAAGTTAGTGGAACAGGCAGAAATGTATGTAAATATGCCAACTTATTACGTTTAAACAGTACTTTCTTTGGGCAAATATTAAGTAAATTTGATCCTAATATAGAAGTGTGGAATCCATGTCATCTGAGGTTTTATGCCTTTTGTTTAGAACTCAAACCCCAGTTGGTGGGAAAACAAACAGAGAAAGCATAAATATAGTCCGAAGACAGAACAAATTAATGTAAGGAAAACTTCACTGAATGCTACTGCACTCCCCGCAGCTGTGCAACGGCATGTTCCTCGTAGAGGAAGTGAGAAATCAACCACTAAGATAGACTTCAACACCATAGTAGGTGGCGATATAGACACCCTACAGAAGAATATGTTCTTTTCATAAGCATTTAACTGCAAAATGCCCTCAAAGCACTCAAGATTCAGGAATAAAAAAGATCAATGATACTTTTCTCTTCAGATCCAGAAGGAGGTCACGCGTTCACTTGGGGTCTTTTAGCCTCCTGGTTCCCCCCTGTTCTCAATAGCCAACTTCTAATGGCACTTGGCTCTGCCATATATAAGCTAACACCTGTGGCTACTTCACTCCCATAAAAACAAAGCCCCAAGATAAGATTTTGCAATGTCAACCAGAATAATTATAAATAACCGCAACAAAACATTTCCACTTCTCTCACCTCCAAGAGTATTTTGGGCTATATTTTCTGAATAATTGCTCATCTCAACTTGCCTATGTACATTTTACCGACTCAAGCCAAAGGTGATAGCAGTTACACATCTAGAAGGAGCTTACACACAGTTGAGGGCACTCAAAATTGTTTTATGGATGAGACAAACATTGTCTGAGACACTGTGTCGTGCCTACCGTTTTTGGAAATTTCCACAAGACCTTTCATCTTACCTAAAGGTTCACAAAAGGCGTCGCTGTAGCATCTCCACCTCCTCGTGGTTTCACATAATAGCTGCAGCCCTCTCGCGCTGCACCACAGGGCTGCATGGGGAAACCATGAAAGACCTTCAACAGATCTGACTCTGCCAAGTCATAGGCCCAGAAGAGAGAAGCACATGAGCTTGTTCCCTTCTAATCAAAACCAAAATCCAGAGCTTCTCCACAATATCATAAAAGCAAAACCATCACATTTGTGAAAAAAGCAGAGCCTATTGTAATGGGATCATTAAGATCAACCCTAAAGTATGTTCACGAATACCATGACAGCATTGTGGATACTAATTGCTGTCTAAAAACACCACTTCAGCTTAAGTGCTGGTATTAGACAAGGGTACATTCTGTCAAATGTTGTTGGGCCCTTAATTGAAAGGGTCATTAAAAATTTACTGAAAGGGATACTCAAAACACCATCAAGGACGAAAGGTGTGTTTGACGCTCCATTCATTGTCAAAGATGCCACATCAAGTATCAAGCAGCAGGGATGGAGACAGGAGAGAATGAATTTGAAGGCAATGGTACAGAAAGCTTCTTTATGTGAATACCAAGTCCAGGGCTGCCTGACTTCAGGCTCTGTCAAATACACTGTGAGGAAGCATTAGTGGTCCACATACTTCCCATCTAAGAAATATACCTACGAATCTACATCTTATGAATATTTGATCCAGCTACAAATATGAAAAAAGCACCAGTCTCTGAATTATTTCATTGTTTTTGCCTAAGTCCTAAATTATTTTTCCTGTAATAAAATAAAATGTATTAGGTGGGAACAAGAGCCCAAAAAAGCAAATACCAACTCAAGCCCGTTAAAACCAAGGTTCCAGCCATGCTGATTTTCTTTACAACATAAATGGTCTACTTGGCTTATAACAGCAGAGACTTGGGTCAATACTGTCATTCCCGCCTGCCAGCACTGCAGACTTCATGCATTCTCCCTTGAATTAACTTGACCACAGGCATTTCTTGTAGGGTATAATGAAGAAATTGGCCAAAGTTCCTGCAAGAGATATAATGTTGACATGAATTCTTTAAAGCACATAAACAAACCTGGAAGACTAGAAAGGTCATGGTGAAAGAAGCAAATTTCCTTCCTTTAATATTTATGGGAAGAAAAGAATTCTAATCTG